AATTAATTTAAATTTCCATATTTTGGGGGCCGTATAGGACGTAGGTTAATAACTATTCAAATAATTATTGTATAAATCTGACCTTTTTCGCTTGATATTGGTCGATTTTTCTTTCCAACCGATTCACTGTTTGGTTCAACAGATTCACTGTTTGGATCAATTCATCCAACTTTTGACCTAAATAATTTTTGTATTACTAAGATTATCAAATACAAAGGAACAGAGTATTTGCCACAAACCCAAATTTTCTAATCCTTATATCTATGAAACGTCATGGTGAAAACTTTTGATATTTTAAACTTAGATTATTTTATCTAACATAATTCATACTTTGAAATATCAAAGTTTTAGACCATCAGGTTGTAAAGATATAAGGGATTGAAAAATTTTAGTATGTGGTAAAAACTCATTTCCTTTTTTAGATCAATAAAAGATACTCTTGTCGTAATATTAATGTAACTCTACATTTAACGAGTGTGCCTAACAGCTTTATATTATCAAGCATGATATATCCATTAATTTCTGTTAAAAATTGATAATTTTCAATCATTGTTTCTGTATAAAGTTACTTGCAGATTTCTGCTTCAGGAACAATGGAGGAAAAAGTTACAATTTGAAAATAGAAAATTATCTCAAATTATTGGCCTGTGAAAGGGTTAAAGGGAGTGACCGGCAATGTAGTTGAACTAAGAACTAAGACAACATTCGCAGAATTTGTAGAAATCTGGGAACAAATTTAAAAAGAATAAAGAAATTCAATATAATGATGAAAAAGAAATAATTGATTCTAACATTGGTTTTTTGAGAAAATTTCTATTAAGAAATATGTTCCTCAACATCTAATTAGCTTACTGTAGAACTAGTTCTACATTTTTTGATGTCGTTATTTAATAATTACTTCTACATTGCCGGTCACTTCCTTTAAAGAGTGCCCTTGTGGTGATCTTACTTTGAGAGATATTTGAAGGTGACGCTGCCACCTCATTAGTTAGGTCAACTGAATTCACTGAATCTATTTCATCAGGAACGTCGAAGCGGGAAGGAGTACTTGTATAAAGTCTCTTGGGCAGTGGGCTCCCCGCATCTAGACTGATTTTCTTTCTTGCTAAGGGCGTTGTTGGTCTTCCATCAGTTTCTGTCTCCTTTCCTCTGGTGTCTTTCTTAGAGGGAAGCCGCCTCTCTATACAACAAAACATAATCTATTTAATTCTTTTTAAAATTCAGTTTTTGCATTTTCAAATGATTGTCTAGTGCTGCATTATTTTCTTAATGTTATTTGATTTACCTTCTTCGTCTGAATCACTATTATCCTCGCCAAACTTCTTGGTTTTCACTCTTTTTCGTTTTCCATCTAAACGAGGAGATAAAGGCAAGCCGCACCAGTATAGCCTCCATCCCGCAATTGTTTCACAAACAAAGAGTAGGGACGTACTGCGCTACCCTTATCCCTTAACCTAGCCGCACCCATATATTTTTGGCAAAATGTCTTTATTTTTAAGTGCCTTTTTCCTCCTAAAAATATTTTTGTTGTACATAACTGCATGATGTTGATCTCTAAAATGTTTGTGAAGGTAAGTAGAAATTCAATCTTTACCAAAAATAACGCAGTTTTGAGTGCAATTCCGTTTTTTTAATTATCTAAATTTATCTGATTTTAGATAATTTTAAAACTTTTAGAACTGTGCTATTTCTGGTAAAAATTGAATTTCTCTCTACCTTCAAAAACATTTTTTGAGAAGATCAACATGTATGTACAAGATATTTTTTTAAGTAGGAAATAAGCATTTAAAAGTAAAGACATTTTGCCAGAAAATATATGTTTGCGGCAAGGATGCGATACGGGTAAGTGTAGTGCCATGATACTATGTTTAAGAGTCAAATACAGGATGGAGGCTATTCTGGTGCGGCTTGCCTTCCCCCCCCCCCTCCCCATTCTTAACATTATAACTCTTACCCCGCCTTATTCTGTTATTGTGTATGGTCAACCACATGGTAATGACTGTCACACTAGACGGGCTAGTACAGTAAAGACTAGACCTTCAATCTTGCACCGGTGCAACTTTTGAACTTATGTGAACATTTAAAAGTTTTGGGAATTAAAATCTTGTCATCAAAGACAAAATGAAAAGTAAAAATTGTATTAGTTTCAGTTTAAAGGTAAAAATTAATATGTGCAAGTAATTGGAACCATATTATACCTGGTTCACTTTCACTATGCCTTATAGCTCTTTTCATGAACTTTTGCCCCTCTTCCCAGGTTCTAATCTCTGCTACAAAGATAAAACAATATAATTTCTATTTTTTAAGAGCTAAATTTTCGGTAAAAAATATGTCAAACTAATAATTCTGCTAGATATTAAGTCAATGATTTATAGGAACCGAGTTTTTGCCCCAAACTCTGATGTTGTATCCCTATATCTTTGCAACCTTTAATATTTTAAACTATGAATTATTTTGTTAAATAATATTAGTTTATTCTGATACAGTCAGGCCATACTAAGCTATAGTAAGATTCGCGTGACATATATATTGTATGTACCCTTATTTAGCACTGTAATGTCCAAAAACTCCCAGTAAGACTTTGGTTGCGCAAGCTTCTTTGCAAGATTCGTAACATCCTTGGGAGGCCATTTAACCTGTCTATCCTAAAACATAAAAATTGGAATTTGGAATTCTTATTGTTCCACACATAGAGTAATAAAACGAAGAGGTGAAGCTTAGCTCAGGTACACAACCGACCTCCCAATTATTTAATTAAAGAGTGGTCGGTTGTATACATCACGATATGTTTACGTATCTAACGCTGTACACTTGTATATTATTACTCTATGGTTCCACATGTAAATATTTACCATTTTTTTTACATCGAGGACGCATAAAAGTGCAAAATACAGATACAACCTTCAGGGACATACACAGAAATTTGTCCAGGGGGAAGGCTTAAAGGGACTGTAAAGGAAAAATGAAAGGGCGTATAGGTTAAAAGCTAATCACTTTAGCTCTTGATCGCGACTCATGAAAGTTATATCTGATGTTCCTATCTCGAAAAATTGATATAAAACTGTGTCAAATTTATATGAAAATTCATATATATACATTTTTGTATCGAAAGTTTTATATTAATTTCTCGAGACATGATCATGATAGAAGTTGCTCAGGACCTTTAAGGATTCTGCTTCCGAAAGCTCATCCCCAGGCTTCCAGGACTCAGTAATTCCTGTTGTATCTCTCAGGATACCAGACATCATTTGAAGTTCCGTCTTGTAATTCTTTCCAACAATCTTCTGGGACTCTGATGAGCTTCCTGGAACTGATAAAGGAGATTCAGACTTCTCCATATTCGCATCGCTACTACTAAGCAACCCTGATGTACCTGGTATAGGGTTGGTAACGTTTTGATTTTTGAAAAAAACGATCGTTTCGTTAAGAAAACGTCGAGGAAAATCGAAAAACGAAACGATCGTTTTTAAAAACGATCGTTTTTTTAAAAAGTTCGTTTTTTAAAAACTGTCGTTTTTTAAACGATCGTTATAAAAAACGATCGTTTAAAAATAACGATCGTTTTCAAAAACGATTACCAACCCTAACCTGGTAGAATGGTACTGAGGTCCTCCTCTTGTAAAGTCTCTGATTCAAGATCAGTTTTCTCCTCTGGTTTGGTCGATGTTTCATGAGATTGAGACTTCTCTGTATTCTCCTCTTCACTACTAGACAACGGTTCTATACCTGATAGAATGTTACTGAAGTCAGTCTTTTGTTTCTTCTTTCTTGAAATATTATCCACATGTTTAAGTGGCTCAGAAGAACTTCCTGGATCTGATATCATATTATTGAAGACCAATTCTCCCTGCTCAGACAGTTCATCCACAGCCCTCCAGGACTCAGCACTGTTTTTTGGTAGATTAGTTTGCTTTAAAGGGTTTTTAACAATTTTACAAGATTTTCGCAAGTGTTCATACAAATTTTTCACTTGTGTGAAATTTTTCTTGCAGATAAAACAACACTTAAACATTTGCATTGTTTTATCAGGATCTAACAATTTACAGTAACTCCTCATTTGTATAATCTGTTGAACCAATTTAGTACGCTCTGTGGAATTAGCAGCATATTCAACAGCCTGTTTTGCAAGTTCTGTCAATTCAGGCAGATGTTTGTCCTCAAACGATGGTTCTGTTATCTGCTTCTCTGGTGTACTGGTAAACGGAAACTCGTCGTCCTCTTGTAAAGGTTCTGATACAGGCAAATATTCAGTTTCTGTTGTGGATGAACTTGTCAAGAGCTCATTTGTAGACAGTTCATCTTTCTCCTCTGAGTTGGTGGCTGTTTCAAGTTTGTGTTCTGCTACATTTTTGTTTGGAGCTGGACTAATGAAGAGTTTTGTTTTACCTTTATTTTTTTTCAGTGGTGTGGAGAAACCAATTTCATCTTGAATACATATTTGGGTGTTAAAATCTGTTGTACTTCGAATAACTGGTCCTAATCTGGATGAGATTCTCTCAAGGTCTTCAATGAACCTAAAAATATTTCAAATATATTTGACTCAAAATTGATGAATTTTTAAATTGGGACTATCAAATTGAACATGTTTGCACAATAAGATTGCTAGTTTATTTTTTTGCTCTGAATCAGATTAAAATTTTTACCATTAAACATGTGTCTACTAGTTTATAATGTGTTTGTAAGGCCACATATTGAGTATGGAAGTATAACAAGGTTATAATTTCATTCCTAACCTAACTACAGAAAATCAGGTCTTTACAAAAAAAGGTCAATTGGAGCAGTAAATAATAGTTCATTTAAGGCACATTCAGATCATTGTTTTTCCTCCTAAATCTTGATGATACATATAAACTATGTGTTCTATCTAGTAAGCATAAATTATTTTATAAAAAACCTTCCAGCTTCCTTTCATGATAGGTTTAATTATTTTGTTAAACCAAATAGAAAAAAAATCATATAAACTTGAACAGGTTATCTTTAAAACTCTAGGATGTTTTCCCTCTGCTTTATTTCCAAAAATATAGAATTTGATTGAATTAGAGCTGATGGAAACTAAATCTGCAAAATTGCTTAAAACTGTGTATCATGTGGATAAACTTAGGAGGAACGGCAGCCAATTGCAGCTGAAAAATTGGCTTTTTGATTATTTGAGTTAATTTGATGTTATTTGTATTATCTCTCGCTTTTTATTTGAATAAAAATATGAAATACCTGTGAAAATCCACATGGTCGATGGTGCATGATGAGTTACAATGGCCTTTTAAGAATTCCACACATGAGTCTAATATATTCTTATACGGTTTCAGGTAGTAATCTTCATCCATGTTTATTATTTTTGTTGTCTGCAATTGCCTATTCATCAGAAAATGAAGTCCCAACAGTCTCTGGATGACAGCAAACCCTTCATCATTAGTCTTCTCGTAATTTAACCTTTCCTCATCGGTTAAAGCCTCTGAACACTAAATGCAAAAAAGTGTTTAAGGTTTTAAGGAATTTTTCGTAACGCATTCCGAGGAATTTCTTGTAACCTCAGTGAACAATAAAAAGATTGTTCAGGAATTAGGGAAAAAATTAAAGGATTCGGACAGGGACAGTTATAACAGATGGTTATGTAATGTAATTTAATGTAATGTAATGCAATGTGATTACAGAAATTGTAAACTGTACCTCCATTTTAGAGACATGACTCGCCAAGAACTCAACCCAGTCTGTTATTAATTTAAATTCTGTCATATGTGTGCCTGGCATCACTGAAGTTCAAAAATTAAACAAGGACATTTTAATTTTCCTGAAAAAAAGATAATTAAATGTAGGAGAAGCAGACCCTGATCATGAGCATTTTAAAAGGACACAATTTTGTTCTTGATTGAGACATAATGGACTAAAAAACATATACAGTTTGAAATGGAATAAAAACAATTAAATAATTAGCAAGTTTTCACGGACTTAGAGGTTAAACTCCATCCTAATGTAATGATGGTCTCACAGTTTGAGCCAGGGCAGCTCTGCCATGACATTTCTATCATGCTCGCCGTAGTCATAACTAAGTTCTTCTCCCTAAATAATAACTAATTAGTTGTACTTATCAGGCTAGATATTTGAAAGAATCTGAGCAAAATTGCGCGTGCGATTTCTGTTGTGGATGAACTTGTCAAGAGCTCATTTGTAGACAGTTCATCTTTCTCCTCTGAGTTGGTGGCTGTTTCAAGTTTGTGTTCTGCTACATTTTTGTTTGGAGCTGGACTAATGAAGAGTTTTGTTTTACCTTTATTTTTTTTCAGTGGTGTGGAGAAACCAATTTCATCTTGAATACATATTTGGGTGTTAAAATCTGTTGTACTTCGAATAACTGGTCCTAATCTGGATGAGATTATCACAAGGTCTTCAATGATCCTAAAGATATTTCAAATATGTTTGACTCAAAATTGATGAATTTTTAAATTGGGACTATCAAATTGAACATGTTTGCACAATAAGATTGCTAGTTTATTTTTTTGCTCTGAATCAGATTAAAATTTTTACCATTAAACATGTGTCTACTAGTTTATAATGTGTTTGTAAGGCCACATTTTGAGTATGGAAGTATAACATGGTTATAATTTCATTCCTAACCTAACTACAGAAAATCAGGTCTTTGCAAAAAAAGGTCAATTGGAGCAGTAAATAATGGTTCATTTAAGGCACATTCAGATCATTGTTTATCCTTCTAAATCTTGATGATACATATAAACTATGTGTTCTATCTTGTAAGCATAAATATCAGGTCTTTGCAAAAAAAGGTCAATTGGAGCAGTAAATAATGGTTCATTTAAGGCACATTCAGATCATTGTTTATCCTTCTAAATCTTGATGATACATATAAACTATGTGTTCTATCTTGTAAGCATAAATAATTTTATAAAAAAACCATAGATATGACATTGTTCACCATCAGACAAAATCTGACTAGTTTAAAATACATGCATTTATATATTTCAGTTTTTTAAAACTTCACATTTTATTCAAAAAGGATTACTCTAAACATAATGCTTCACGTCGCATGACCTCAAAATTCTTTGAACAATATATATATATATAGAAAATAGTAATCTCTGTGATGATGTGAATGCAATGCCTGCCTGTCGTAATTCAGTAGCCTTCCATCGATCGATTTCGTCAAGACCTCGAGGTTTCCTTAATTTTGTATAACATATTAAAAAAATATAGGGAGGTAAAAGTAGCATGGAAGGAAGACTCACGAAAAGAATGGGGGAAAAAATTAAGAAAAAACCTACCTTACAAAATCTGAAGGAATTCCAGATTTGATAGCACTCAATCGCCTGTTAAGCTCTAGAATTTTATATGCTGGTAAGCGCAAATGTTTCTCTCCTCGACACCAAATAAGCAGAAGTTTCTAAATACAAGATGTTTCTATTTTGTTGAAATTTACTTTAAAGATGGTTCACTATTTCTTTGCAAAACTTCTGCAATTTGAAATCTTTCACAATAGACCTTTTCAAAAATTTACATTCAATGATTGGAACTTGAAAGTAAGTACAAAAAGAAATTCATTTTGGCATAGATTAAAAAGGAGTTCAAACTGTAAGTGTCAAGACATAGGACGATTTTTTTTTCATTTATAACCAAAAATCTTTATATCAAGGGGGGGGGGTCCCTACCCCATATTTGTAAAAAATCCAACCTTCATAACTCCAAGGCAACAGGAATGCATGTAGTCTACACTCCAATCTCAAATAAAAAGCTTACATACTTCGATTTGAATGAGAAAATTAGTGAAATTAGTTGTTGGTTTATAAAACTTTAGTGTTTCATGCTTTTTTATGAGGGGGGGGGGAGCAAAAAATATTTCATTATATTTATCTATATATCCAATATTGAAAAATTAAAAACACGAATGGCACCATGATAAAGTGTGTATGTCTCTCTGAAATACCTTTAATCATGTCAAGCCCAAATATGTTGCACATGGGGGTGTTACCAATATGATGATTCTCCTGAGACTTGGTTCTAGAACAATTTTAATTTTCAAACAGTGGATTGAGTATTCCAATTGAGTTAATCCAGAACTTAAAAAATATTAGTTTTTTGACATAAATGACGTTTTACCTAAAAGAATGATCTGTCCTTGGAGTAAGGTTCTTGGTTTTTCGGTAAATAATTCGGCGATCAACTCTCTTACCTTTTTCTATATTTTTCAAAGATATAAACATAGCATTGCGCCTTGAGCATAACTAGAATGAATCCCCCCCCCCTTTCTCTGGATAAGTGAAATAAAAAGATTGAGCTCCCAAACATGTTTATTTATGAAAAAAGAATTAAATCATTTTAATGAAAATCTTTTTTAAATTCTTTTAAATTCTTTGTAGATCCTATATTTTGCACCCCCCCCCCCTCCCCACCGACCCCCTAACCCATATATTTCGCAAATTTCTATCATTTCTATGTTTTTATCTTTCCTGTACAATGACCGCAACCATAATAGCCACCATGCCCTTTAACCTGTTTAAGGTGAGCACGCGCAGGGGCGTCAGCAACAATAGAATTTAGAAACACTTTGAATTGTAAACCCTTGACTTTTAATCCATTTGAAATAACGGTATTCAGTTGATCAATCAATGGATTCAGAAAAAGTAAATTAGACGGTTTTGATGTTCCAAAGCAAATCAAAAGAGGGAAAATGATTGTAGGAATTAAATTTCTAAAAGTTGCTAGAATGGGCCAAAAAACTTTACTTGACGATTTATATAAAGGAAGGCCGTCGTAATTCAAGGATAATAATAAAGTATTATGCTGGCGGAGGGTTCTTTCTGGAAATCTAAAAAAATGTTAAAATTAACTTCAGAGGTGTTTGCAATAAAGTTAATTAACTATAGCTTTGTACAATTTCATTTTAGTGTGCAAATACTTAATATTTTTAACTAAAACAAAACATTGGAAAAATACTGAGATTTTTTCCACCAATCTCAAATTTTCCAATTTCCTATATGTTTGAAACCTGTTGGTGTTAATTTTTGATATTTCAAACTTAAATTATTTGATCTTACAGAATTCATTATTTGAAATATTTAAGATCTACAACATTGGGGTCCAAAGATATAGGGAATAGAAAATCAGAGTTTATGGCACTCAGTTCCTATATAATTTAAAGCTAATTAATGGTTCAAAGATTGTTCAAAAAGTAAAGCAAAAAGTTTAACAAACATATAACTTTCAGTAACCTGTTTAAAACACGTTTCATCTCTGTGCGTACATCAAACTGGTGAACAGTCATGTCAGAAATATTACTTAGAGAAAATTTGTCCTTTCCACCAGTTCCCATTAAAGTGCGTGCTGTTGCAGGCAAATCCTATATTAAAAACAATCAATTTAATTTGCATTCCCCCCCCCCTCCTCCTTTTACTTTACAATTTTAAATCAAATTTAACCTGATGCTTTCCAGTAGTTCTAAGGATTCGAAGTAAAGCATCAACAGTGTTGTTAGGCACCAAAGTACTGTTAACCCACTTTTTTAGTTCACCCCTAAGAATGTTAAGATATTTGAGAGAAGGTTGAAATATATTTGAATCAAATCTAATGAGGTCAGATCTTCATTATTTGTTTACAGATGTAATATATAAGCTGTCTAATTTAGGAAATAAAACATAATCTTTTGTAAATCATATTTTAGAGCAGAAATTTTATAAAACCTTAGTTAATTTTAAAATCCATGCCCTTTCAGTATTTCAGTAAT